GCATAGCAATGATAGCGAAGGCTATGGCGACGACAAATCTCTCCAATCGGTTTGGAGTACATACAATATTTTCGTGGTCCTAACACCGACCCTTGAGGAACCCCGAAATCTAGTACTTTGTCATGTGAGGTGGCAGATCCGATGGCAAGCACTGTCGTCGTTCACTCAGGTATCAGTCACTCCATAAGAGTTTTCCAGACGTTTATAGAGTATGCCATGGTCGATGACGTCAAATGCAGCTGACAAGTCCAGCATGACAAGCACCGCTCTGCACTTGTTATCCAATGCAGAAGCTTTATCACTATGTACACGTAGGAGGGCCGTCTAAGTAGAGTGTCCCATGCGGTTTTCAGGTAAACATAACCACTTTGTACATGTACCTGGACCGTAGTTTTCTCCCCGCATGGGGCACTTACGTAACTCGTCGGGTAAGGCCGGGGGTGTGAAAATCCACGTGAAGGGGAGGTATATATAGGCAAACGAATGCAAATAACAAATACTATTCAGTACGGTCAAACGGTATCGCATATCAGCTCTGTGTGTCAGGCACTGGTCAGGTAAAACTCCGGACACTCATCAAATTGTTATTTCCCTGTTCTGTTACCTTGGAGCCAAACCCATTCTTGACAGCCTAACGGTCGCTGTAATACTGTGTAACACGCATTGTGAAAATGATTATTGTGATGAGAAATTACAGATATATACACAGTGTACATTATCGCATAGGAGCCTTCCGTATTTTTGTCATTCCGTAATTTTGATCTACAAATGATACCAAATCGCACAGTTGTGCGGAGAGAAGCGCAAAACGGGGAGAACGATTGCTAAATCGCACAGTTGTGCGCACCATGTGTGGACGATGTGCGGAAATATGGCTCTTCACGTGATGTCCCTTTCAGCTGTCACCTTCGACAAATAGTTGCAAATACATATTGATATAGTCCGAAATTCTCGTAAATATTCAGATTTTCCCCTATTTATCACGAAAATGTATTTCTATATTGCAGTTCTAGTCTAGTTATAAAAATACACGTAACTCTTTCTAGACAAATCCAATTAAAAAAAAGCGCGCTGAGATCTGTAGAGGAACACATTCAAATGTATGATATATTTTAATTTCCGAATGTGCGATTTTCTAAAACAGGTTTCTCAAGAGATAACTCAGTCTCGTGTGGCTTTATTTCAGATAAGAAAAATAATTAAATGACGTAGAATTTTTGTACAGCCCAATTCTCCATCAGAAAATGAAAGTAGGTGGTGGTAGTTGTTTAGATAAAAGATAGACTTGATATTCTATCCCAGAGAAAGCATTGTGGCTAAAAGTTCAAGAGAGACCAGTTTTTACTATTTTGACGTTGGAAGTGTTAGCTGCTTTCTTCATTTCGTAAATTGATGTTTGTAATTCACCAGACCACAACATAACACCGGAAAAACCGGTTTGGAAGTAGTAGACGAACATAGATTCCGGGAAGGATGTTAGAGTATCATACATATTTAGTTAATGATTAAATACAATTATGTTATTATCTTGATTATATTTGGTATATTTTACCGAAAATGAATCTAACACCTGGGCTCGGAGAATTTCTTTTAACTCATTCGGCGTCAGAATAATACAACAGAGGTCCCGGGTGAGGTCTTTAGTGGAGACATTGAAATATCAATGGCCACGGTTAAATACTTGCCGCAGTGAGCCACGAAATGCATACGATGTTACCTGTTCGCTTACCTGTAGTCACGTACACGTGCATGTACACACTCTGACATACCCTATAAGGTACGTTCCATATAAAATTATTTTTGAAATGACCCCTGTATTTGCTTGTCTAGGTCTCTGTCTCCTTGCTCCGTTCTAGGTCTGTCCCAAAATGAGAAAGGTCTAATATAAATAGTTCTCTGACATTTTAAGAAGAACATCTCTTTTTCAGCCCACGAAATGACAGTTTATTCATGTAATTATAAACGAGTTGAGAATGCTTTAGGCGGATATTTATTACGAATAGGTAAAGATGAGAATCATTTTGCGTACATGTACTGTTCTAAATTCAGTAACAATGCAAGATAGTTTTGAATGTGAACACGACCTGAAATCATGCTTTATAAATTCATATAATAACAATCGTCCTCGCACTGCCAGAGGGTATTCATCCTGGGGGTTGGTGATGTGTCTTGTTTTCATTTCTTAGTATCAATTTTTAGGTCCGATTTCGGACAATCTGTAGAAGTAAAAGGGCACATCAACGTTTGATTTAAGATATTCCTTTACGTCGGTAGTGGTTATTTCCCTTTATATATAATAATTACCTAGAGGAAAACACAAAATGTAAACCCCTTACTGCAGCAGAGGTTAGATTTAAGCAAACTAATATCAGAATGGGACTCCAGTCCAATTTCGAAATAAAAAGGCAAGCTAAAATCAATATATCTAATTATATAATGAATATACATTTTTTTGATTGACATCCGTTGAATATGATTGTACACTGTATAACAATAATAGAGGCGTCTATTGATTTCCAGATTTTGTGTACAGGTTTATTCAAGCATGAATAAATATTTTATGTACGAGAATCGGGTTACCAGATTATGATTTCACGAATACAACAAAACATATTTCGACGTTTCTCATGTCTAGTATCTGGTTGTATCATTGGACAGCTTGTGTTAAGTTATTGAAGTCTCGGAGTGGTCTCCCTTTTTACTTTTTGAAGAAGCCATAATATCTGGTTTTCATTCTTCATCACCTGCAACAAAAGTATGTAGTCAGTGCATTAAAGCAAGTCCATAACTCGAAACTAATAATAAAAGAACTTAAAACTAAGTGATTTCCTACACCTCTTTCGAAGATTCAATTAAAAGGGAAAAAATGTAGCAACCACTTCATTTCTAAAATCCATGTAGAAACGCAGAATAGTTTATCCGATAAAGCACTTACAAACGCTTCTTGTTTTATTCATAATCTGGCATTATACATATCAGTAATTATTTGAAAGTGTATGCGTCTGCATACGGATTATTCTTCGTTGAGGCCTTTTAACGTAGAACGAGAAACATGTATACCACATTTTCAACACAAAGAAACAAATTTTGACTTCAAAGTAGATACAAATAAAGCAACTTTAACTAATCACAAGAAACACGAATCAAGGAAGCACTTATTTGAACAATATACTAGTTTGACGTGAACAATAACAATAGTTCGATGTCGAAAGTTCAATACTATTGCGTAATATGAGAACCCCTGCAGATATGGTGATTGGCTTATGTGCCCTCTACTCTGAGACAAAGAAGTGACCAAAGCAAATCTGCTGCACTCATTGCAACATTTGGATCGTATTTTCTCTCCAATTTGTTTAGATCGTATTTTCTCTCAACTTAGGTTGAGTTCTCTCAACCTTGTTTTCTAGTGCCGCCCTTGGCTATCCCTAGTCGGAGACAAACCAAAGTCCTCCAATCCCTGCTAAACTTTCAAGGAGGCAAATGCACAACAACATTAACACACACACATAACACACATAGACGCACATCCTTAAATTACCTGAATTGTAAATACGACACAAACACCATACAAAAATACAACCTCAGATTCAATATCCAAGACTTAAATATATGTATATATATATAATTATAATCTACTCAATCCCTATATGTTGCTTTATATAAATAAATATAGTCTACTCAAGCCCTATATGTTGCTGATAAAGACACACTGGTTCACCCGTTGTCAGTATAACGTGACTGGGCGGAATGCTGTGTTGGGTGCCTGGTATTTAAGTGAGATAGCACTATAAAGTCGACGTCAGTTCCGCGCTATCAAAAGTAGGCAAATACACGAACATACCATACATGCATGCACACTTACATAACACACATGAAGACACATCCTAATATGACCTTAGCTGTTCTAGGATGAATAACCTTATAAATCAATCTATCAACCAACAAGTACTAATTGTAATGGGGGCCATTTCAGAAGACTCCAAAGCTGCCCCCATAGTCGCAAAGATGCATCAGAAAAGGATCGTAATGACATAATACACCAACAATGTATATAATACATTTGAGCATCGAGCAGTTTTTAAATTAAGACCAATCGGAAGCCTCTGTGTGGTTGCTATGGCAACGAAACTTATGCGGTTGGGTTCGCAGTCCCCTAGTACCCCTATATGACAATTTTCAACAAAATCAAACAATATCTAAATTTCGACCATCTCAAAAGCCTACGTGTGACAATATGGCAACGAAACATATGCGGTTGAATTCCCATTCCTTTATACCCATATATACCAATTTTCAACAAAATCAAACAATATCTAAATTTCGACCAATCAGAAGCCTACGTGCCATGTGGTTGCTTTGGCAACGATCTGAAAATAAATACTTGAAAGCACAAAATACATATGCGCATTAATAATGATGTGAAGTTTTATCAAGATATGACTTGCGGTTTTCGAGAAAATGGTCGGACAAGTTCACGGCGGAAGAAGAAACGGCGTAAACACAATATGCCGTTTGGGGGACATAATAAATTAAAATGTATTTATTTCTATTTGACTTCGTATTTACCTTGCAGTAAGAGTCCAAAGATTTCGACATTACTATACGGAGATGGTAAACAGATGTTCTGTCGTCGCCTGAAATATTGACAGAGCGGAACAATGCTTCAAACTGTTGCGCCTCCCGGTAAAACGTAGTGTCTTCATTAAATGATAAATCACCTGAAACAAACAAATGCCTGATAAAATGGTTTCAATGGAAAGAGAAACACCATACCGCCTCCATCATACACGCTTGCATGAAACACATAGATGTACGTCCTTTAATTATCTTAGTTGTTAACAAAGAACTATACATATATATGGTTTATGCAAAATAGAAATGAAAAGGAAGCACATTTATGTCGTGTATATTAATAATTAAAAAGTTTACCAATTTATAGCTTTCAATTATAATCATAATTTGTCCATATGCTCGTCGGCGGACCGTTATCTTGGTAATTTGTATATAAAACGGGAAGCGATATCCTATAAACATAGATACACTGTATGTAATAAAATATGGAAAAATAGGTAACTATATTCATAAAAAGATTTTGTGACTTATATGCTAATGGAAGAGAAGTAACTTAATAAATACTTTTACTTTTCTGTTGGTGGCATACACGTATTACCCCCCACCCCCCCCCTTCTACAAAAGTATCCTTAAATTAGTTCAAATTAAATGTCAATATAATGTCAACAATGAGGTCTGTCTGAGTCGTGATATCTACCTGAACCGTATAGGCATGATTCTCTAACGAAGACATATCCATCGGAAGGTAACCATGTCAGCATGCCGTGGAGTAGTCGTGTTGATGCCTCGTCGTCAAGGTACATAAAGAGCCAATTGGTGAAGACGAACCCAACGCTGTTTGGCTCCAGATTGATGTTCATAACATCATCGACAACGTAGTCTATATTTCTGTAGACACCGTTTACTTCTCTGTTTTTCTCTATGAACTTGGCCACAAAGTCTACTGCCAGTACGTGTTTAGCTCTCTGCGCAAGATGCCCTGTAAAACGTCTGTGAAATGATTTTATATATAACCTCTTTCGATTGAAAACAAGAAAAGAACGATCTGTAAAAAAAAATAACAAAACAGAAATGCACTTTCATCATCGATGTATTTCACTTTGTGTGATAATAATGCAGTTGTTAAGTTCTAAATAAAATTGAAGACATGTAGCTGTCAGTATCATATGTAGAATATTGTGTTGTGTTTCATCGGGATGGTATTTCGATGAAGTAGCGCTCTAAAAGTCGGCATGAGATCCGCGTTTATTTACAAGTAGTCATTAACTCCAACATACCCTGTCTCCGGTGGTACACCGGCACACGTACATGCATGCATTACACAGGTAAATTAACTTAGCTCTTAATAAAATGTTAAACCTTATCAACTTAAACCAACCAATCATGGCACGTAGACTTACCCGATTCCTGCTCCAAGTTCAACTGCTTTCAGTCCTTGTAAGTTGGGAAGATAGGACATTATTTCCAAGGTATCCAGCTGGTGGAGTTCTGGTGCTCTCGAGTTTAACATCATTCCTTTGAAGGAAGCATCTTGTTGTTCCCATAACTTCCTCAGTACGACACGTTTATCTAAAAACCAGTGATGTATTGAAACGTTACAAAAATAATCAAACAAATTCCATTTGTAGAAAAGTAAAAGGCGAAATGTCATTAAAGTATATTTTGTGCAATCAGTATTACTCTTCATTTTAGCATAATATGCGGTCGTTTTTAATGCCTCTTGCCCTCCTGGGATGTCGGACTAACAAGTTTGAAGATAAAGCCATACGCCGATACTTTCATCCAAGTGTACATGTAGGTCTTTTCTTAGGGACTAAAGCAATTGTTTTTTGCATTCTTCAATATTGTTTTTACAATACTATATTACCTGTTTTGATAATAGGTTATTACTGCCGAACTCTGACTCATTTCGATTTAAGATGCAGCAAGTTTAAAAAGATGAAATAAGAAGGTATACATGAGCTAAGCGTAGTAATACCTTTATTAAGAAAAACATGCTAACTTTTTACAAAATTTAAAATATAACCAACATTGTCAACTTGCCTTTATATAGTTACATTGGTGGTCTAAATTTTTAACTTCTTTAAAAACTTTCCATATATATATTCTTTCTACAGAATCATTTTTATCTAATATCAAAACCGGTAAAGTACTTTTTTAGCATGCCAAACATGATCAAAGGCCAATTTCACCTAATCATGGAGATTTGATTATCTTTATTTATTATGGTAAATACCGATACATTTTCTGTTTTTGTATTAAACAAGAACACTTTGTTATATAATGCATGTTTTAAAGTTATGTGCAACAGAAATAGCTCATGAATATGTATTCTGCCAAAGTAATCTTTCCTCTGGAGAACTACTTAAGGTTGAGATTGTGTTATAGACAAAGATATGCAATTATATGAAAAACAATAAAATAATCATAATGGTAAAAATATTATACACTTTATTATACCCCCAAAACGAAGTTAGGCAGTATACTGGAATAAGCTTGTCTGCCCGTCTGTCTGTCCGTAGAAAAGTTTGTCCGGACAACTCCTTCTAAAGTAATGGACCAATTTTAACGCAAGTTTCCAGATATGATAACTTCCACCTGAAATTGTGCATCCAGGTACTATTTTTTTTCTTTCTGATCCTTGTTTTACAAAGTTATGGCCCTTTGTTGAAAAATCCTTGTCCAGACAACTCCTCCAGAACTATAGCGCTAATTTCAACGGAAGTTAACAGTATGGTAGCTGCCCCTGACATTGTGCATCAAAGTAGAATGTTTTCATTCCTACCCTTTAAAAAGGAGTTATGCCCCTTTGTTGAAAAAAAACCCCTTTGTCTGCATCATAAACTACTGGGCCGATTTCAATGAAAGTTTACAGATATGGTAATTATCCCTTGATGTCGTGCATCAGGGAAGTATTTTTTTCACTTCGACCATTTTTAAGGAGTTATGGCCCTTTGTTAAAAACCTTTGTCTTGAGAATTATTTACTCCTATGACGATTTCAGCAAAACCGGTTCATCTGGGCTGACAATATTTGGTATGCAAGAATATGTTGGCATAGGGCGGGAGTACAGGACTGATTACTGATTGGAGACCATGGATTGCTTTGGAATGCTTTGCCTTTTTGATCCTTTAGCCTACAGTTCTGGTTTATATAGGAGCGGATGGTATTAGCTAACATTTGGCTTACAGTTCTAGTTATAATTTTGTTTTGCCTTTTGCCCATTCACTAAACAAAATATGAAGGAATATTACATTAGTTTATAACGTTAACTCTAAACAAATAAAGCAAGGGAAGATATTCTTGAATGACTCCCCATACAAACATTTTATTTTAACAAATTTTATTTATGTGACCTTGAACGAGGTTCAACGAAGGTTTATAGAGACTCGTATGATAAACTAGTGGACGAAAAGTATTACCCGTGCGAGTATCATGGTTGTGGTAATTTAGTTACGCTGAGGTAGAATATTAAGAAGATATTGAGGAGCCAGACCATGAACCATTCTGTGGAAAAGAATAAGCTTGTGCTGTTTACGTCTTTCCCCGAGGGTAAGCCAACCTGTTTCAGTATACAGTTTAATTCTACTTGTGAGTCTAGTGCCGCCAGTGACTATGCGTGCTGCTTCTAATTGAAGATTTTTAAATAACTCAGATTGAGCTTTAGTAAGGCAGTCCCATAAGATATCGCCATAGTCTAATATAGGTCGAATAAGAGTGTAGTACATAGTTTGGAGACTATACCTGTCCATAGAGAATTTGAATTTACGTAAGATATTTATTTTAGGTGAAATCTTAGATATCAAATAACTGATGTGTTCATTCCAATGACCATTTCCAGAGAGAAAAATACCTAAATGCTTGTGTGTAGTAACTTCAGAGATGTTAGTATTGTTCATATTTAAGGGAGGGTGAAAAGGTTTGATGGTTTTTCTACTAATGAGCAGGGTTTCTGTTTTGGAAGGGTTAACATTTACTAACCATCTTTGCGACCAGTTATGAATTTTATTAAGGTCACTATTAAGAATGTCTGCGCTGACTATAGGAATATCAACAGTGACGTAAAGAGAGGTGTCGTTAGCGAATAATTTTATTTTAGCGTGTTATCTTTAACAATGTCAACAATGTCATGTATACATATCATAAATAAAAGAGGTCAAGGAATTGAGCCCTGTGGAACACCAGCCTTAACATTTAACCAATTTTAATGTTTACCATTGATGACAACTCTCTGCTTTCGATTGGAAAGATAATTTTCAACCCAAACTAATAGCGAATTTCGAATCCCATAGCTGGATAATTTACAAAGAAGGTCTTTATGCTAGACACGATCGATAGCTTTACTAATATCACAAAAGACCATACGTATTTCCTTACCATTGTCTAAAGCTAAATATATATCATGAATGATCGCAAGAAGTTGATTTGTTGGCGAGTCACCGTGCTTAAATCGAGATTGATGGGGGATAGAAGGAAGTGAGTGTGCAAACAATTGTAGACATATTTGAAGACACATCTTTCCATTAATTTTCCAACGATCGATAGCAGTGATATAGGTATGTAATTAGTTAATATAGACTTGTTATCTTTTTATGCACAGTGGTGACGTTAGAAAATTCCATTCAGATGGGAATACCCCAGATCTAATTGACCTGTTAAAGATATTACTTAAGGGGACACATATGATATTTACTGATTATTTAAAAGGACGAGAATTTACCAGGCCAGGATCAATGGCCTTAGAACAGTCAGTGGTAAGAATAGCATATCTGACATCATTATCTGTGATGTTAATATCAGTTAAGGAATTATTACATTCGTCGTTAATGTTAGGGATATTTACATTGGAGTCATCAACTATAGACTGGGCACAAAAGAAGTCATTAAATAAGCAAGGTTTCTCAAAGTCATCTTAAGTCTAAGCACTAATGTTAGACGGTTTGCGAAGTTCGATACATAAATTAGAAAAATATGTTAATTTGGCGTGCTTGATTGTGTTAACACATTTGTTACGAAGTCGACGAAACTTTGCCCAGTGAGCTTCAGTAAGGGTACGCTTGGCTTTTTTTGAGCGCGCTTTCGTTTACGAATTAATCTCCTTATTTCGTTTGATAGCCAAGGGGGTTCATTAGATCTGATGGTTATTTTTCGGAATATAAGATTGAGCAATAGTAAGCAAAACATATAAGAAAATTTTGACAGCACCATTATTATCATCAAAATCACTCAATAAATTCCAGTTAAATAAGTTTAGTTTTTTCCCAAAATAAATCGTAATTTCCTAGGTCAAAAAGCCAAACATTTCGTTTAAACACCTGCTGCACTGGCTTTGAACTATTAAAAGAACAGTAAATTGGACAATGATATCTAACCGGTTGGTCAAGGAAGCTTTCTCCAACATAACATTTATTAATAAGATTATTACTACTAGTACAGACTATATCTAACAATGACTCAGAGGCTTCTGTATAAAAAGTTGGTGATTCAACAAGCTTAGTTAGATTAAAGGAAACAAGCATATCGCGTAAGTGGGACGAATGGTGGTCTACTAGGACATTTGCAATAACGTCGCCGGTTATCACAATATGAGAAATACCTGTAGTATACGCTTTTTCTATAAAATGCGAGATATGAGACCATTTGATGACAGGAGAGTTTGGTGGCCGATAAAGAGTAACATATAATATTTTCTCTGAACCAAGTACAATTTCTAACCAGACACATTCAATGGTAGCTATCTCTATATCTGATCTTCTCTTTGCAGGAATATTATATTTTACATAAACCGATATGCCACCGCCCATTCGATCATGTGTACAGTAGCAGAATGGGTCAGAATATCCAGGCAGGTTAAGGTCAGATGAGATAACACTTAAATTTAACCATGTCTCAGTAAAGAATAAAATTGTTATATTACTTAACTCGGTGTAAAGAATATCGAGTTTTTGTTTGAGACTTTGAACATTAAGATGGACAAATGAAAATTACTTACTGCATCAAGCTGGCCACTAATATTCGAAAATATAGATGAGGAAGACGAGCTAGAAGACATGGGACCAGGATTCAGTTCTATATCTCCAGATATCAACAAATGCCAATAGTCCAAAGCACGACGTAGAGATATAGATCAGTAGCGGACATGATAGACGAGTTTGTTTGTTTGTTTGTTTGATTTTGTTTAACGTCCTATTAACAGCTAAGGTCATTTAAGCACGGCCTCCCCTGTGTGCAAGATGCATGCGTGTAGTGTATGTGTGTGTTTTTTTGGAGGCTGCAATATGATAGAAGAGGAGATGAATTTTGCACTTATGTAATGAATATCATGCAGGTTTGTATTTTAAACTTAAACTTAAACGTTAAGATGGACGAAAGGTTGTCTATCGTTACAGAACTGGATACTTGAAGAGGAAGTAGACGCAATTGATTGAATGGAAAAAGAGGGCTGTGAATTTAACTCAATGTCACCTGACAACCACCAGCTGATCAATGCATAATGTATTGATATAAAAGTAAGTAATTCTGTTAAAAAGGATGGGAAGTGGTAGCATGAGCTGCTACGGCACCACTCTCTGAGTGATATCGATGTACTAATATTATGCAAATAAGACGTAATAACGTATAACAAAAGTAAGAGTATGCAATACATAACATGTCGGGAACGGTTACGTATAGGGCGAAATTTGCGGACTGTATATAATATAGTTGTTGAAGACACCAATTCGAACACGATAGAGAGAAACATCAATAGGCATAATATAATACCAGACTGGGCAAGGAAGTAAGTGAGTGTCGTGATCATGATAATAGATGTAGTCAGAGGCACACTGACAACAGGGGAGGGGGTCGGGCAGAGGAGGAAACGGATATAAATAAGTTGACTATGAGGAGTTGAAGTACGTTCATCAGAACCAAATTTGAATAGAGTGGGAAAAGACCAGGTAATTGTTGATATTTTGTGACCGGTACTGGAACTGAAAATACAACTAGTAACGAGCACACGCACACACCCACACCCTCACACACACACGTTCATACATGCTTGCGTTAGTGATCACAATTTAACTTACACAATGCTAAGGCACAAATCAAAGTAACGTGAACATTATCACTAGGCCTACATTATTTAGTAGAGTAATTCCACTGGTATCTGCTACAACCAATTAGTGTAAAAAATATACAAAATAGACTCATAGTGATGACCATGATAGTTGCACACTTTGAGAGAAAACATGGGTACTACTACATACAAGATTATATTGAACGGATTCCGGAGAATCCGGTATACAACTTAGGTATAGGTTTGCAGTGTAGCAATACATGGCAATTTTATAGCACGCAGAATTTATGTAATATCAAATTTTAAAAATAATTAGCAATAATAACACAAATAATAGTAGTGGTAATGATAATAAATAAATCGACTCTGCTCAAGAGAAAAATCAAATAGGTATTACTACATTCAGGATACAATGATGCTAGAATAGCCGATAACAACCAACTTACAGGTTTTGATACAGAATTAACAGTGTAACAGTACATAGCAAGATATAAAGCAATTCAACATGCAAGAATATCATAACCAAATTTAATTTTGATGTTAAGAGAGTAATTCACTATCTGTTATGGCCATTAGTGTAAAATACGGACAAAAATCATAAGACACAAATTGATTATAGTTAAATTTTACACTGTTTATGGAATCTCTATTGAAATAGTGATAATAATAAATTAATCGACAACGCTAATACAGGAATATATATACCAGAGTCCTGAGGAGCTGGTAACAGCTTACCTATCAGTTATAAGAATTTTTTAGAACTTCATATAATTAACGTGTCAAAAATGGAAATTTTCTCTTTAGTAATGAAATTTCACATATTTTTCTGCTTAAATCTTCAATAAAAAGAATAATTCTTTCTTTAAATAGTGTTATAGTTGGTATCAAAATAACAGTTGGAATATGTTGCACACAGTGATGATATATTTTTATAGTAATTTTGTCATTTAAATGCTCTAGGAGGAATTGTATTACCGCACCTTTAACGCCCACACAGGTGTAAGTCAATGAGGTCCCATTTATCATAAAATGAATTCTGAAACTAACCGTTCCTGATTTAAATTCCAGCAGATTATGCCGATGTATCAAAAAATCTTTCAATTTATGATGCAAGCACCAAATTTGGCAAGTGCACCATTGAAGTATTCTTCATTCAATATAACACGTTAGCCACACGAAAAATAAAATGGCGGCCATTTTCGAAGATGGCGGCCATGGGGTTGATATAATTATGCTTTTTGTTCTGAATAATTTTGTTTTGGCTCTACTGGTTGGAATGTGTTTTGTTTGCATCTTGAATCACGGTAAAACTATACTAACGTGCTTTTTAAACTGTTTAGAAACTTGAATTACGGTTTTGTCAAAATAATAGAGTGAATGTCAACGCACAACCAGGGCACACTGGTGACATCACTGCTGTGAAACTCGGCATGTGGTTCAGTGACAGCTCAATTATTTAACTATAGCTAAGTGTCCAAAATGCTACCGTGCTAGCCCCTGACACATTATTTTAGTATTAAACATAATGTTACATGAGTACGGTAGCCGCGCCTGAATTGACAGGATGTGACAGCGTGGGAAAGCCGAGCCAAGGGTAACGAGCCATATGTTACCCGGACGGTGTACAGATCGCACGGGTTTTAATTGTCACTGGATGAATGATCGGACTAGATGTAGGATAGTATTATAGTTTGAACCTAGTTGTATCCCATACTACAAAGTGCTTTTTGACAATTTAAGGCGGTAAAAGGATAAACCCTCGGCCTTGAATTTTGTCGGTTATATTAATCATACACTAGTTTACTAAATTAGTAGGATGAGTACGTTAACAGCAACACCTTTGGCGTCTACTTTGGAGACTGACTGGAATAGATGTCGTCTCTGTCAAACAGAAAGATGAAGAATTGAAATGTCCACCATCTCGCTACGACAGAAACAAGGATGGCGATGGGTATGCTATGATAGCTAGAAATGTCCCTTTCTTTAAAACCATCAATCAAATGCCAATCATTATGGACCCTGGTAGATTGGATCATGGCGAGGGCTTAGAGGAAACACTTAGAGAAAACAGCAAAATACCATCAAAGTTGCAGGCTTTTGTTTAATAACAGTAAACTTGAGAGAGCGATGAAAAGATCTGCCAATTCAAAGGATTTAAACGAGGGTCCAATACCAGCTAAAAGTAGACGAACAAGCCTTGAGAATCGTGTGTTTCCTTTGCGAACAAGAGGCACAACAATCTGAGCTAAGGATTGCCATGACAATGGATCTTGATAAAAGATTAAACGAATGTGCTAGAAACCTGAATGACGGGTAACTTTTAGCAATACTAAGTGGCGGTGATATTGTTGCACCAGAACTGAAGTATCACCGCTGTTGCTTGAATAGAGAGAGGGCATGCTTGGCAAGTACAGAAAACCAGGACTTTCATTCTTCAAAAGAAAGAGAAGTCATCCCAATAGTGTTTTCTGAGCTTCTTGTTTACGTAGTCAAGACAAAAACAAATGCGGATGGGCCTGTAGAATTCTGAGTAGAAACACGAAATGTTAATTCTACAAGATTAAAGGACAAGTTACTTGCAGAAATAACTGATTTGGGGGCCCACAAGAAGGGAAGAGATATTGTGTTGGCATTTAAGCAGGATATTGGTGAAGCCCTGTCACAGTCAATTGACTATTCGGAGGCTCTCATTTTTACCAAAGCAGCTGAAATCTTACGAAGGCATATGACCATGCACAAGGCTGCATTCAATGGAACGTTCCGTGATAGTTGCATAGAAGATACCGTGCCCTCTATTCTTCTTCAATTTGTTTGTATGATTGAGCACGGGGCTGTCATAAAATCGCAGTTACGGTTTGGTGCGGCCAAGACTGTTTTGGCCATGGCGCAGTTGCTCTAGTACAATTGCTATGCAAAATACAAGGAGGGAGCTAAAACCTTTAGACATTCCAAAGATCGAGAAACCCCATTTCCAGTGTTCATTGGCATGTCCACAAATGCTGCACGAACATGGTCTAAGTATTTCTTTTGACAGGGTTCTTGACGTGTCTGCTCAATTGGGGATGCAGCTGTGAATAGATACAAGAACGAGGGTGTTGTGTGTCCATCTGATCTAAGGAAAGACTTTTTTTACTGCTGCAATGGACAACATTGACCATTATCCATATGCAACTACCGTAACAACATCTTTTCATGGCACCAGTATTTCATTGTTCCAACACCCAACATCAGTAAATCAAGGCCAAATACGAGAGAGGAATCTAATTGACAGCACAGCTAACAAGATACCAGAACTACCAACTATCGAAACATCTTTTGTTCTTCCCGCATTGCAAATGTATGTCATTGCTATGTATGACAAATCAAGCCCTACTGCAAATATCAACCATGCAAGACTTGATCTCTTTGCTCGAAATCAAAGATCCTATGAGTCAATCCCTCCAACACGTGGAGCTCTAATCGAGCATACCAGACGAACTGCCTACCAAGCAGGTTGCACCTGGGGTCAGTCTATCATATCCAACATGGAAACTGAATGTCCAGAGTTGTCAACAACTGACAAAATGTGGACGCAAGACGGAATGTTGTGGTCGGTGCAAATGTTTCAGATTAAGTCTACCTTGCACGGCATTGTGGAGTTGTAACTGTGAAACATAGATATACAGCTGTGTTGCAGTTATGACACTTAGATACTATGTTAATATTAGATAAGTGACAGGAGCTCACATTATGATTTTAATTTTGCAAAAGGAAGGCTTAATAAAACCTTATATGGTCTTTTTGTGTGTGTGGTTTTTTTCCGTGTTTTTTTCAGATATTGTATTTCCCACAGCCAAATATTATATATATATATATAATACTGATAAGTATATACAGATATATATAAATAAATTGATAGGAACTGCCAGGGTTGGGGAGCCCTGGAGTCAGTCCCCTAAACAATATGGTGTCCTCACACAGGAGGGCTCTCGTTCATTTTTCTCAGCTAATTTTATCTAAATTCAAATATTTCAATTTCATAACATTTTTTTCATCTATATAACATTCAGAAATTTGATTGGGAAATAAAACATTTGTACATAAGAGGATTTGACATCTACAGAACAAGAACATACTACCGCATTTCACACAAAGCACACACATCCAGACGTGTTAACATATACATCAGTATCATAATCACTAAACATAAATAAAACACTTATACACACATATATACATACACATATACATACGTACATAACATACACTTCTACGACCTACATACGTATATACATACATGCATACACATGCACGAACATACACACTAACATCAGCAAGTATGCATGCACTTACATACGTGCACATGCATGTAAATACAAACATACATGTCCATTGTTGCATGTATCCGTATAAGCACCAGAAAATACATATAATGTTCAAGCACTCTACTAACCCGTATTGTGTTTGTTGTCTTTTATGTTAAATATCATGAAATAGCTATAAAATCTACTTTGAGATGAAACAGTACGGTTAGTTTCGTTTCTTTACCTAAAAAGGTAAGGAGATTTTATCAAAAAACTCCATTATGGCGGCCATCTTGATAAAAGTGGCCGCCATTTTTGAATTTTAAATGGCTAACGGGTTTTTTGGGTTAAGTAGTGTTTAAAGAGTGTATGTACCAAATCTTATGCTTGCATCATTTAATGAAAGTTTTTTTTTACTATTCGGCTCAACTATTAAAGGGACATCACGTGAAGAGCCATATTTTTTTTAATGAATGTATATATTGTATGCACGTCCACTTATGTTACCTCGCTATTCCCATATTCATAGTCCGTTCCAAATGTCCAGTTTGACCACTTGAATTGTTCGGGAAAGCCCTGCTAAAAATAGCGTCAATAAGGTCACCTGACTCGGCAGTAAACACAAGTGGGCTGAGCGAGATGAAACGGTTTCCAGAGGGGCCCCCAGAGAGGGGCAGTCAGACAACTGCAACTTCTTACCGCGCTATGAAACCAAGTAATATGATTTCTGAGTCCATATTCAAACTTATTGAACAGTAATTATTCATCATAAGAAGTTAA